TGAAATCTTGCCATTTGCAAAGGCATGGTTGGAACTAGAAGGTATTATGCTGAGCAAAATAAGTTAGAGAAAGACAATTATCATACAATCTCTCTGATATGACGAATTTGAGAGGCAGGGCAGAGGGTTGTCAGGGTCAGGGAAGGAAAAAAATGAAACAAGATGGGATTGAGAGGGTGACAAACCATAAGAGACTTTTAATCTCAGGAAACAAACAGGGTTCCTGGGTGTTGGGGGAGGGATAGGGTGGCTGGGTGATGGACATTGGGGAGGGTATGTGCTATGGTGAGTGCTATGAAATGTGTAGGCCTGATGATTAACAGACCTATACCCCTGGGGCTAATAATACATTATATGTTAATAAAAATAGTTAAAAAAAAAAAAAAGAAAGAAAGAAAGAAATGTTGCAGGCCAGAAGAGACTGGTGTGATATGCTCAGAGTGCTGACAGGAAAAACTGCAACTAAGAATACTATAGGCAGCAAGATGATCATTCAGAACTGAAGTAAAAGTAGAGTTTGTGAGACAAACAAAAGTTAAAAGAGCTTATTACCACTAAGAGAGATTTATAAGAAATGTTAAAGGGGATTCTTTAAGTTGAAAATGAAAGGCCATACTAGGAATAAGAAAATTATGAAAGGAAAAAATGTCATTTGTAAAACAAACATAACATTTACCTAAAAACCTAGTGTGAAGGTTAAAATACAAAAGTTGCTAAATCAGTTATATCTATGAAAATTATTTAAGGATCCACAAAATTAAAGAACACTTGGAGGGGAGGGCAAAAATTTAGTATTCTTAGAATATATTCAAATTTAAATGATCATCAACTTAATATAGATTGTTATATGCATAGAATATTATATATGAACCCAATGGAAAACACAAATCAAAAATCCTATGATAGATAAAATAGAGAAAGGAATCAAAACATAACACAAAAGTAAGTCATCAAACTATAACAGATGAGAGCAAGAGAAAGGAATCAAAACATAACACTAAAGAAAGTCATCAAACTATAACAGATGAGAGCAAGAGAAGTATAATGACAACCAGAAAAAAAATCGCAATAAGTACATATATATCAATAACATCTTTAAGTATATATGAACTATGAGCTCTAATGAAAAGATACAGGTTGACTGAATGGAGAAGAAAAGAAGACCATCTGTATACTGCTTATTAGAGACTTACTTTAGACCTAAAGGCACAGACTAAAAGTAAAGGGACAGAAAAAGATATTTCAGATGTGAATGTAATTGAAAAAAAAAAAGAAGAAGAAGAAGCCAGGATAGCAATCCTTTATATCAGGCAAATCCTTTATATCAGACTAAAACAAAGACTGTAACAAAAGAAAAAAGACATGTAGTGATAAAGGGATCAATTCAACAAAAACTTGTAATAATTTTATATATCTAATGTACCTGACATAGGAGCATCTACATATATAAAGCAAATTTTAACAGACATAAAAGGAGAAATTAATAGTAATGCAGTAATAGAAGAGGAATTTAACACCTCACTTACATCAGCGGTTAGATTGTCCAGACAGAAAACCAATAAGGAAAAACAGTGACTTGGAATGACACATTAGATCAGATGGACTTAACAGATATATATAAAACTCTCTGTCTAAAGTCAGTAGAATACACATTCTTTTCAAGGTCAATTGAAGGAGTCTGAAGAATAAATCACATGTTGGGACACAAAATAAATCTCAGTAAGTTAAGAATGTCAACATCATATCAAGCATCTTTTCCAACATAATTGACAATACTAGAAATCAATTACCAGGAAAAAAAAAAAAACTGGAAAATACACAAAAACATGGGGACTAAAAAACATGCTACTAAAAACCAACGGGTCAATGAAGAAATCAAAGAGGGAAGAAAAATACATTGAGAAAAATACATCCATGAAATAGACACAACCTGATTTAAAATCCTTAGGAATCAGTGAAAGCAGTTGTAAGAGGGAAGTTTAGTGATACAGACCTTCTTTAAGAAACAAGAGGAGGGATGCCTGGGTGGCTCAGTTGGTTAAGCAGCTGCCTTGGGCTCAGGACATGATTCCAGCGTCCTGGGATCAAGTCCCACATCGGGCTCCTTGCTCAGCAGGGAGCCTGCTTCTCTCTCTGTCTCTGCCTGCACTCTCTCTCTCTTTCTGACAAATAAATAAATAAAATCTTTAAAAAAAAAAAAAAAGAAAGAAAGAAACAAGAGGAATTTCAAGCATTCTAACTTCACACCCAAGAAACTTGGGACAGAAGAACAAACAAAGCTTAAAGTTATTAGAAGGAAATAATAAAGGTATAAAGAGAGACTTGCAAATAAATAAATAAATAAACTAAGAGCTGGTACTTTGAAAAGATAATAAAAATTGATCATCTTTAGCCATAGTTATCAAGAAAAAAAGAGAGAGGACTCCAAAAAATTAAATCAGGTATGAAGGAGAATTAATAACTGATACCACAGAAATACAAAGGATTATAAAGGACAACTATGCAAAATTATAAGCCAACAAACTGGACAACCTAGAAGAAGTGGACAAATTCCTAGAAATAATTTTCTAAAACTGAATCAGGAATAAATAGAAAATTTGAATAGACTGACTGCTAGTTACAAAACTGAATCAGTACTCAAAAAATCCAATAAACAAAATGAGGTACCAGATGACTTCGGAGGTGATTCTACCAAACATTTAAAGAAGAGTCAACACCTATCCTTATTAAAGTATTCCAGATATAAAATTCTTGCAAATTAATTCTATGAGGCCAGTATTATTATACCAAAATCAGACAAAGACACTACAAACAAAGAAAATTACAAACATATCTCTTGTGAACAAACACACAAAAATTCTCAACAAAATATTAGTAAACTGAAATTAATAATACATTAAAAGGATCATTCACCATAATTAAGTGGGATTTATTTCAGGTATGAAAGTATATTAAATAGTCACAAATCAATATGACAGCAGATTAACAAAGGACAAAATGTATATGATCATCTCAATAGATGTTGAAGAAGCATTTGACATAATTCAACAAACATAAACGTACAAAACTACATACAGAAACATAAAAACTCTCAATAAATTGGTTTAACAGGAACATCTGTCAACATAAGAAAGTCATCTATTACAAACCCAAGGCTCACACCATATTCAGTGGAGACAAGCTGAAATTTGTTCCTATGAACAGAGTTATAGATACAGAAATAGAATGGTGGTTGTCAGAAGTTAGAGGGAGAGGAAATGGGAATTATTGTTTTGAGAGTAGAATGTTTCAGTTCTGTAAATGAAAACTGTGGAGAATGACAGGGTGATGGCTGCACAATATGAATGTAATTAATACCTCTGAACTATCTACTTACCAACAATTTAGATAGCAAGTTATAATATGAATATATTAGTATAATAAAATTAGTAGGAAAAAAATTTTTTCTACCAACAAAAAAATGATGTTTTAAGTAAAGTTCACTGTGTGCAGATAACAAAAAAGTTTATGAAAGAGGGAAAAAAATAAAGTAAGGCACTGATTGTTATTTGGAATCTGGGGTGTATTGGACTGGCAGTGGAATTTCATCTGTTAACAGCCAAGTGTACACATAAGTCATCCTGTATACAGTAACTGTGGACATGGAAGGATGTTGGAAGGTTAAATTGATGTTACCAATCTTCATATTGATATAACACCTTCTAGTTTTCTCATAGGAAATCATTCCTGGGATGTTTGGAAATCCAATGAAGAGTCAGCCCAAGTCAAAATCTACAAGAATATATTAAGCACTCTCTAGCAAAAGAATAATTCCTTGGGATCCTTACCTGCAGAAAAGGTTGTTTCAGGAGTTTAGTCCCAAATCTTTGCCTTCTCATTCTAAAAATATTCTCAGTGGAGTCTTAACAACTACCATGCATTGATTCTCTAACTATATAAACCCAGCCTTAATAGGTTCTCCTTTTTCTCCATTTCCTTCAGAGTTTTCTTTTTCTCTTTTTGAATCCCAGAGTTTAACAATGCTTGTTTTTGTTTTTTGGGTTGTTTTGTTTTGTAATTGTAATAAATTTTACTAGATAGAAAGAGATATGAATGAATATTTTTGGAACTATACTGGAAACACATTGGATGAGTCCTTAGGGAAAAAATGTCATTCCTTTTTATTTGTCCATTAATGTCATCCAAGGAAATAAGTGATGTGGGAAGGGAGAAATATCATGGACAGAAGACATTTACTGAGTGGCAAAGAAGACAAGGTACAAAGAAGACCAAGAAATATTTACCAAGATTGAATCTGGGAAGGTTCTAGGAAGCTCTATAATCCCTATGTCATGCTTCGAGACTAATTAAGTCATAATCTCTGAAGATAGACATTTCTATCTGTAATTTCTAAAGCTTCCACTGATTCTCATGGGTGGAATGGTCACCTGGGTCTTTGTAGACATTCATTAGGACAAAGTTAGGTGTGAATTAACTTTCTGTATTTTGACATATTATCATTTGTGTAGTGAAAATCTCAATGCAAAAGCATCTGCCCATGTTAACTCCTTAAAGAAGCCCTAAGTGCTTATGTAGAGGGTTCTAAAAGGATAACAATCAGTAAGCCTAGTTGGAAGGCATTTTGCTATGGCAGAAAAAACATGTTATCCTTAGACCAGAATTCAAATGGTAGCTCTGCCAGTGACTCTATACCTTTGAGTAACTTAACTTCTCAATGTCTGTGTTTACTTGCATGCAAAATAAGGATTCTAGCCCTCACGGCAAAGGATGCAGGCGAGTATTGAAAGATGACAACTGAGCCTCTCTGCCCCTGACCACGTTGCTGTACAGGGGCAGGGATGCCTTCCTGGAATGCCCCATGAGCCACTGAAGCCATTAGCAGGGTGGGAGGTATCACAGGATATCACTATCCCTCATGTCCTCCTTCCTGGGGCTGAAAACATCTTCTCTTTACCATGTGGACAATGTCAGTTTTCTGCATCTTGTGTTCCTTTCCATAGAATACAACTGATGCAGTATGTCATCTACGGGATTGCATCCTTCTTTTTCTTGTACGGAATCATTCTGTTGGCAGAAGGCTTCTATACCACAAGTACAGTGAAGGAGCTGCATGTTGAATTTAAAACAAGTGCCTGTGGCCGATGCATTAGTGCAATGGTTAGTATAAATCTCTGTCTGACATACAACCAGAGTCACATATCTGGGTATTTATTTGTATTTGGTGAAAGCTATGAGATAATCAAAGGTGGATGAAGTCCATGACACAAATATTGTTCTTACCACTTTATAGTTAGGGACATAATAAAGACTTTCAACATAGTATTGATAATAAATTAAAATCTATTGCTAATATTACTGAACATTTCTCCTATCAATGTATGGGAAGTAAGAATACTGAAAATTTTTCATATTATGTCAGTGCTATCCTGTCTTTAAATATTCATATTGGACCTAAAGCCATACATGTACTATGATTACTTATCATAACTGTTCTGGAAGTATATACCAAGCATGCACTGTATCAAGCATACAGCTAGGAATTTTGTTGATTGCTAGTGTGCAAAGATTAAAATACATCTCCTCAAAAAGTTTATAAGCTAAGATAGGGCTTTCAAACTGCAACCTGCAGGCCAAATCTTGTTTTTGTATAGCTAAGAACGGTTCTCACATTTTTAAATGTTTGGGGGGAAATGTGATGATTATTTTAAGACATGTGAAAATTATACAAAGTCATATTTGAGTTTTGTTGTCATATAGCACAGTTTCAAGAGTTTTTATTGTTTTCACATGTAGGCCTATGTTTAGAGTGGTTCCCCTCAGAAGGCATGGGCGTGCCTGGTGGGCTTCTGGAAGACTTCCAGACTTAACCAGCACAGTCATTTTTATCTGTTGAATCTGTTACATTAATTTATTTATATAAAAAGATCTGTTTTAAAAAGTTGAAAAGACTGATGCGCAGGACTAGCTTTATTCATTTTCTCATTGGTAACTTGATCCTTAAAACTATTTTTGTTGATACATTCAAGAAGATCATTGAATAAACCTGCTCTGGAGGATGTTAGGAAGACAGAAGTGACAGGGAGGGCTGTTGACAGATAGAGGAACATGCTAATACAGGAAGTTGTATAAAGTATAAAATATAAATGAGCTTTGCCCACCATGGATGGCAAAAATGAATTTTGTCACCAGAATTCCTGTTAGTCTCTGGTCCTTTATGGGATTCTTCTACCTGGGAAGACACTAAGAAGTAACTCTGCATGCTTAAGGCCACCATGATAGGAACAGTCTGCAAGGGGAGCACTTTCCACTGGACCCTGGCCTATACTTTGGAATTCTGACAATCATTGAAAGGCAGGGCTGACCAATAAAGGAGCTACCCAGTTCTTCTTCAATTTTCTATGGTGTTATTGAAAAGAAAGTAAAGTTTTCTTTTAAAGAGTTAGAAAAAGAAGCCCCAGTTTGCAGTAGTGTATCCATAAGCACTGGGGACAAAGGGTATATGAAAGTGATGAAATCTACTTCTTTGAATATTTTCAATGGAAATACTTTTGAAAGTGTCGATGTCCTGCAAGTATAAGTAATCTGTTTCTAGAGTTTTCTGGGGTGACCAACAGGAAGTGATCTGTCTGACACCAAATGGAACTCCATTGGTTCAAATATTTCGTCTTCAGGATCAGTTTAAGAAACAAAAGTCAAACCAAAAGAAATCCAAACACTTGCCACACATTCTGAGGATATATATTCTGGGAATATAAATACCACAACAGTTTATGGATAGTCTTTAAGAGTTCTCTTAAAATTAGTACTCAGGCAGAAAGTTATGAATAAAGTGAAGTGATATCATTATGTTTTTCCTGAAATTGCTCATAGCAATGTGTAGAACACAATGAGGATTTTTTCCTAAGCCATTGCTGTGTTTGTAAAACTGCTATGAATGCTGAGTGTGAAAGAAAACTAAAGGGAAATGAGATATTTCTCTCTTCTGTGTTCATTAAGTTCTATTCAAAGTAATTTTCAACTTCTAATAAAGACTCAAGCATCCAATGCGTTTACTAATTTCACAAGGCAATGAAACTAGCCAAGTTCCTTTTGAGAAAGAGCTTTCTGAAGTATTTGTTATTGTACTATCCATATGTTGTGTAAAATAAAGGCAATTTTTGAGAAACTGATATGAAGTTATCATTCAGTGCTGTTAAAGAATCCCAATACATAATCACCATGGTAAATATTTAGTAATTGCTGCCTCCCTTTCTAATTCAGTCTGCAACTGTGGACAAGAGAAATTACCACGTGGGGTCTCCTGGCTCTGTTTGTTGAGAGAGGGACCTGCACAAAGTCCCTTAAGTAGCTTTGGGCAATCACATTGTCCATCATGTAGCTCTAGAGAGCATGACTGCCCTGGATCAGCCCTGCTTCCTCTCTCCCTTGTTGCTATGCCTGTCACTCCCATGGCCCCGGGCGGTGCTGACAATGCAGCCCCCAGCCAGAGCTGTGTGACCATTTTGTCCCCAGGTGCTGTAACCCTGCCCACCCCCTCAGTAATGATTCTTTCTCCTTCTCTTTTTCTGCTCAGTTCGTTTTCCTCACCTACGTGCTGGGAGTGGCCTGGCTGGGTGTGTTTGGTTTCTCCACCATGCCCGTGTTTATGTTCTACAACATCTGGTCAACCTGTGAGGTCATCAACTCACTGCAGACCAACGGCACAGCCGCTGTGGAGCAGATCTGTGTGGACATCCGACAATATGGTACCTCCCTGTATTACACCCAGTGAACTTTTATCCTTTTGTGTATAGGTCCACACCTTAGTTATAATAGGGTGTTTTTTTAATCATTGTGATCAGTTTCATATGTTCTTTTAAAAAAAATTAAAGATAGAGTAGGAAGAGGGGCAGAGAGAGAGAGAAAGAGAGAGAATCTCAAGCAGACTGCATGCCCAGTGGGATACCTACCTGGGTCTCAGTCTCACCATCCTGAGATCATGACTTGAGCCAAAAAGCATTGGTTAAACATGATGAACTGAACCACAGAGGCACCCTGGTTTCATGCATTCTTCTTTTGGAATTGTTTATAGTCTTTCTCTCAATATACCCAGTTTGTGGGATATTTGTACAACCGATTATTCCTGAAATCATTGTTTCACTGACAGTTTGGGGACTTGTCATTTCTCTTCTGAAACATAGAGTTACTTCTGACTGGAAGAATATGGAGGATGGAAGGATATGCAGATTTTATTTTTTGATCTTTCTTCCTTATATACTGAGAAAACTGTAATTTGAGCTATTTTTAATTTTTAAGTACATATGTATGCAGAAATCATGCACTTACCTTTAAATTAAGTGGAAAAGAAAAACAACAGCCTATGAACAATTGTTAAGTATAGACAGAACTCAGGGTTACCATGAGAGACACATTATAGACTGTGCTTGTCCCATCCTCTGGGATGAAAAATGTTGTTTTTCTTTTTAAATATTTACAATTAGACTTTTAATTCAGAATGATTTCTAATACATTTACAGTTAGTCTTTTAATCCAAAATTATTTCCAATACTTAAACATAATAAAATGTATTGTAAAATACATGCAAAATACAAATTCAAATTTGTGTTTGTAATTTGTAATTACACTGCCAAATTTCTATGAAACTTTGTGAGTGTATGCTCTCAATTTTGGTACTTATCTCATGGTAGACTAAAAAGATCTTGTTGTGAACACCTCTTTTTCACTTGCAAGGCCACAAACCAAGATATTTGTATAGAAATGTATTTGATCTGAGTATAATATAATAACATATGATGTAAAGAACAGCTTTATAAGAGAATCATACTATAGTTATTTGTAATTAATAGTTCATAAATTCAGTTTAGGGAAATTTTAGTTTTCTAAATCAGTAAATATTTAGTAAACAAAGCTTTATTTGTAAAAGGAAAAAAGTCATAGGAAAGGCTCATATTGTTTAAATTTCTCATTCAATTTTCCTCTGACCCTGTTGTCCTGATGGGGCTTACTTTTTATTTCAAAAGGCCTGGTCTGCAGAGGGCCGACCTGTCAAGTGTTGATGAAGAACAGTGTACAATTACAGTGTCACTGGACCCTGAAGTGGTGAGGACCAGTGAGAGCAAGGAGCACTGCAGTGTGTACTAATAACTAACGTTCTGTTGGGCTTCATCTCACAGGTATCATCCCTTGGAATGCTTTCCCAGGGAAAATCTGTGGCTCCACCCTTGAGAACATCTGCAACACCAGTGAGGTAAACCCTTTTCCTGTCAGGGTCTGGACATGGCTGCTTGGTAGAGCTGGCTGAGGAAACGGCTCTCTGAGGTAGAAAGAGCAGAAGGTGATACAAATGCTAGGAAAAGCATGTCTTTGTGCCAAATTGTATATAATCATCAATACTCACTCATTTTTTATCTAGCAAATGGCCATTTTATGTGGTCCAGCTATTGAGTAAGGATATTTAGCAATCAGAAATCTTATTCTTTTGGCAGTAATATGTACTGATATCAATTCTGCCCATCTGAAAACACATGTAGCTTCTTCTCTTTGGCGCCATATTATTTTTTTGAAAGTAGGACATTTGTGACAGAATAAATACAAATTAATTTTCTCAAAAAGATTTCCCTAAATTTGTGTATAAACTCATTTTTTTAAAATTTTTTTTAAACTTTATTTTTTATAAACATATAATATATTTTTATCCCCAGGGGTACAGGTCTGTGAATCACCAGGTTTACACACTTCACAGCACTCACCATAGCACATACCCTCCCCAATGTCCATAATCCCACCCCCCCTCTCCCAACCCCTCTCCCCCCATCATAAACTCATTTTTTAAAGACTTTATGTACTTACTTGACAGAGACAGAGACAGTAAGAAAGGGGAACACAAGTAGGGGGAATGGGAGAGGGAGAAGTAGACTCCCCACTGAGCAAAGAGCCCCATGCAATGCAGGGCTCCATCCCAGGACCCTGGGATCATGACCTGAGCCAAAGGCAGACACTTAACTCACTGAGCCACTCAGCACCCCTGCATAAACTAATTTTTAAGTCCATTACAGTTCATTATTTTTCCATAGTGATTCACTGCTATGTCTCTTTGTTTTTAATTAGATATAAAATCTTTGTTTAAAATATCACAGTTCTAGAATATTTTTAAACATTAGTTTGTAAGTGTTTATAAAGGAAAAGTCCTAAATATACTAGTGAGAGTTTGCAAATTTAAGAGAATCCTAGCATGCTTTTGCAAAGCATGTGATTCATTAATCACTTAAATAATCAGTCACTGACTCCTTCATTATGTAGTTTGTATATCCATACTAAAGCAGGGGCTCCCAAAGTTGGCTGCACACTATAGTCACAGAAGAGAATTATACTTATGACTGAAGTCCAGTCCCCAGATTGTCAGATTTAATTGGTGTAAGGTATAACCCAGGCATCAGAAAGCTTTAGAAAACTCCTAGGTTATACTTTTCTGCAGCAAGCCAGGCTTCAGACAGAGAATTGAAAGGAGTGCGCACTGGCACACAACCTCACAGAAAGCAGCTCTGGAGAAGAAAGAACAGGTGTAGGCCCATCAATGCTCACCCAGTGCCCTGTTCTTTCCTAGTTCTACATGTCCTATCTCCTGTACATTGTGGCCTGCGCCGGAGCTGGTGCCACCGTCATCGCCCTGGTGAGTAACCACAGCCCCTCACCTGGCCCTAGTGCCACTCTCCTCCTCCATGCTCTCCTGCCAGACTTGTCTTCCCCCAGTCCAACTCCAGGACAGAGCCCTGGTTCCATCTCACCCGTGTAAAACTCCCCCTCATTGGGGTGCAGGCAGACCTTCTTGCCTGTCCTGGTAACTGAGAATATATAGTGGAATTTGAATTCTTTTGGAAAAAGAGAGATATCAATACCTGGAATAGGCGTTGACCAGGAATAGCAGTTAACCTAGCTTCTGCTGTGATTATAAATGGGAAAGAAGCCAGGCCGTGGGTCCCAAGTGGGCGGCCGCCCTGACTGCCGTTATCTTACTATCCGTTCTGTTCTCTTCCACCAGCTGATCTACATGATGGCTACTACCTATAACTATGCCGTCTTGAAGTTTAAGAGTCGGGAAGATTGCTGCACTAAATTCTAAATTGCTTAAGGCCAACGAGGAGCCGTAGGGAGCGCTCCTCAGAAGCCTGACATCTCCCTGACGAAAGCGGAGCCCAGGCTGCTGTGGTCTGGTGCCAGGAATTTGTAAATAGCTTTAGTCCGCGCAGTTTGCATTGTAGATTAATAAGATGACTTACCCTGAGTGAATTACAAAAAGATGAGATCTGGCTATTTCCACATTGTGAAAAGGTTTCAGTTATGAACTTACCTTGGTGAGCATATGTTAAAGAGTAATTTCCTGAAACTTAACTTTCAAGCAGTATCTCTAAATGAAGTGTTAAAATTTTATAATACCTGCATTTTCCATTATTTTTGCTCTCTTAGTAACCAGTTTTCGGTAACAAAAATATAAAGTGTTAAAGATGAAAGAGAAAGGGAATAGTTTAACTCTGCATTTTCTTTTCAGACTCTCTTTCTGCAAAACGTTTGGCAGATATATTTTGATTTAAAATACTTTGTGATCATAAAAAAAGCATGAGTATGTTTCCTTCAAAAATAGAATTAAATAATATGTGATTTTGGGGGGCATAATCCTGTGATTCCTCTTACAGTTCCAAAACTAAGAACTTTAAACTGTTGTGTTTAATGAAACATTCCTCCTCAGTAGCCCATTCCCAAACTGTACACAACATTTTAATAGAAAGAGAAATTGTGCCTGGATCTGAAACTCTCAAGATGTCAAAAAGTAAACATGAAATATAAGATATATGAGGTACCTATTTATTTTTTAATGAAATAAACATGAAAAAAATGTTTGCCACACCAACTGTAAACAATCGTAAGGATTTTTATACACTGTAATACATAGTTGCACTAGAGACTGCATGCTTCACTTATAAGTTATTTTCTTGTTTTTACATTCATCTAATTTTTCCATATTCAACATGTAGTTTTTTCATTATTTACTCAAAATAAACATTGTTCATACTTTTAAATCTTTAGGAGAAATTGATTTTTGTCTTTAAGGAGAAAATGTCTTTGCAATACAGTTATTTAAAACTAAAACATAGTGTGTTTCTTACCTTCTACATTGTTCTTTAAAAGTATTCTTAAAATTGTAAACAGCACTCTCATATTTATTACATTTTTGCTTTTTCATAACAACAACTTTGGCCGTTTTTTTCAGTTCATTGTGTTTGTATACTAACTTTTCTTCAGCCTCTCACTCTTAAGCATACTAGTAGAGCATGCCTCCAGATCGGATGGCTCTGACAGCAGAATGAGTATTAATCCAGAATAACCCTCTCCCCTTTGACAGCACAGACGGTCTAACTGCCTAGCAGCTTGCTTTGCCTTCTGACATGCTCACTAGCCATCATGCTCACCCTTCTTTTCCAGATCCACTTCCTCATGATACTGTCTTCTAACTGGGCTTACTTAAAGGATGCAAGCAAAATGCAGGCTTACCAGGATATCAAAGCAAAGGAAGAACAGGAACTGCAAGATATCCAGTCTCGGTTAAAAGAACAACTCAATTCGTACACATAAGTGTTTGCCAGAGCGTTACGGCCGACGCGTTGACAGCTCTGCCCACTGTCAAGACAGCTGCTCTGCAGTACAGATGTGTACCCCACCAAACAGCCTATCCACTTCACTGTCTGGCTCCAGCTCCTGGGATGTATTTCTAGGAACACCTTCCAGCAGGTCAATCTTTTTCTTTAGAGCAGATGTTGGATGTTTCATGTTAACCTTTTTGAAATACAGGGCATATTCACAATCCTACCAAGACAAGCAATACAAATATATTATAGTTTTTGTGAGGTACCCTGATATATCACTATCAGGGATATAAACTATAAGCTCATGTATGCTATCTGTGCTCTGCTAAATTTTCTGTATTTATATAGAGAATAAACTGGAACTCTGACAGCTGGCATGAATTAAGCCTTGACTATTAATGTGGCTTATGTTAAGTCAAAAAAAATTTTAGCTGAGTTTCTTTTTCTCAAATCCAGAATACATAAATTTCTTGAGCCAACTAGAAACCTATTCCTCCTATTGAAACCTACACAACTAAATAAGCTGGAATCTTACACATTAACAAGCCTTCAGGAATCAATTTTATATAAATTTCATTTTAATAAGGTGGAAGGAACCACTGGGTTCATTAGTCCTTTTGGAAAAAAAAAAAAAAACATCATATCTGCCTTAATAAGTATTTGCTTTAAATTTCTGAGCATTTAATTTGCAATAGTAAACCCTAATAAATGCTTTTCTTCACTAAGAGATATTACCTTAAAATAATCACTATTCTAATCCATTCTCATGTAGTCTGGATAGTGAGTTTACAGTTTCATATCAACCAACTAAAATCTAATTACCAATAGACTACAGACTTTATGCTCATCATGCTTTAGTAATTTAATTTCGAGTATTCGTTTCACTTTTTCTTATCAAACCTTCATTTTCTAGAATAATAATGTTCTATTTCCAGCAAGAAAACTCTAAGTTTAGGCCATTTAAAAAAAAAATGTAGTTTTTAATTCATTGTGTTCCAGACCAGTAAGTGACTATAAGTATTGGGTATTACTGACAGTAAACTTTGTGTTGTTCTTTATGAAATTATATATAAACCTGCTGGATGCATCAGTGCTTTTTAAAAGGGACTGCATAACATAGGGTTAACTATGTATATCAGTGACTTGTGATTTGGCTGTTCCCTTGATTTTAAAACATACATATATAGAGATGTCTTAATTTTTAAAAGCATATTTTTATCAACATCCTATTAAAATTGAAAAATCCTCAGTTATGACATTTCATCATTTTGTTTCGTTGGTAAATGACTAAAAAATGTGTACTTGGATCTTTTTATTTTTTTTTTAACTGGGAGAAGCTCTCTTCAATGTAGAACAATTGTTCCAGAATACCTTGTTTTGTTTTCAGGTTACATGACAGACTTAACTTTTTTTTTCCAGCAGTGGAGGTGCTGTTAGAGTCCAGTGTTCTAGAAGACACACTGTCTCAAGTCTCATTTTACTTTTCTAATTCTGGTAACTATTACTAAGAATATTTTAAAGTTTTCTGAAGTAGTCTAATATTTTTTATGTAAAAAGCACTAAATTTTGCTATGTGTAAATTTTTGTAAACTAACAGTGAATCAGTATCTTCTGTCAGTGCCTAGGGATTCCTGTATTTCTATTTAAGTGTTACAATAAATATTATAGATAATAGTCAATACTGGAGTATGCTTATTTCAAACATCTACTTAGATGAAATAGGTTGCAAATGTAGTAACAATAATGGAATACTTCATTTACTTGGCTTTTACCATACATAAATACTACCTTTCTTTGTCTTAGAATGGTGTCACTTTTAAATAATATGCATAATCAAGATTTGACAAAATATTATAATTCACCAGGCTGTATTTTGCATAAATATTAGTAGTACTTTAGAGATTTATGTAAAAGTTAAAAAAAAATTCTGACTAGCTTTTCCCACAAAAGCCATTTGCCCATGGAAATAAAGAGAAACTTAAAATCTGCCACTAATTGAGGAAACTAGAAATAGAAGTCATTTAATGGTCCATATAAATACAAAGTGAGGAGAAAGTGAGTTTAGAGAGCTATGATGTTATGAGGTGGTGTTGAAAGCGAAGATGTCAAGTTCTTAGTGGCAGTAGGACTCAATGTTTGATATGCTAGATGTGATAAAGATGATGTCTGGACACCTCATTTCTTCACTTTCAAAGGGATACTGCAATGAAAAATTCCTTAGAAGCCTGAGCAATAACAAAACAAAGAAATCCTTCCCACTTTGTTATGGAATTTAGTGACCTAATAAGTATCATGGACAAAACCCATTCACCCAGTCTGTATTTGTACAGGGAAATGATCTCTGGGACCTCACTGAAAAGACAGACCAGACAAACCCATCCCATGTTAGGAGGTGGAGGACCATGGGTTAGCATTTTAAGTTTCATGGCCTGGGGAACCAATCCAGTCCAGGCAAACTAGGGGGGTGGTCAGCCTCAGGGACATTTTGTGTGCACTTTTTGGTGACTATACTGACAGTGTCATTGAAGAACTTTTCCAGGATGCTCCCACAAACAAAACAATGGACTGTGAGGTACAGGTGTGCAAAGATGAAGAAATGGGAACAACAGCAAATGCACTTCCTCCTCCCTTTCTAGAGGCTCTGTGGGTGCTGCATTGGAGTGCATTTACCCTATTTATTCTCTGTGTGGTTTCTAAAGGTCACTCTGGAAAGAGATGTCCAATGGGTGACCTACTGCAAGTTATGGGATGTCTTCCATGGGAGAAGCTCCAGAACAGCCCAGCTTAGAGGCAGCACTGGTCTCCCACTGGGATATATATCCTGGCTCTGCTACTTGATGGCTATAAGACCCTAATCAAATCACCAACCTATCTGTGCCTCGCATTTCCTCATCTGTAAAATGCAGATGGTCATAGTACACATGCTTCATATGGATGATATAAAAATTAAGTGAGTTAATACATAAAAAGCTTTAAAATTGTACCTGGTGGGGGGCACCTGGATGACTCAGTTAAGCATCTGCCTTTGGCACAGGTCATGTTCCCAGGGTCCTGGGATCAAGCCCACATTGGGCTCCCTGAGCAGGCTTCTGCAGCTCTCTCTCTCTTTTTCTCTCTGGCAAATAAAAAAAAAATAAAATCCTTTAATAATTAATTAATTAATAATCAATAAAAAATAAATAAATAAATAGTACCTGGTACACAGAAAGTGCTCAGTAAATCTTACCTTATCTTTTTGTCACCATCTATGAAGGGGTTGCATTCATTCTCAAGAAGAAGATGTCATAAATAAAGACCAGATACAACATTGTATGTACCATTTCTAGAATCTAGTATGGAATAAATCAGGAGCAAACCATAAGGAGAGTGTTTGATGAGTGGTCTCCCAACTGTGGAGAAGAAGGAACACAGTGAAACTTCCAAATGAAGCCTGGAATTAGACTAATAGGATAGGTTAGTCTTATTCAAAAACTTACACAAGTCGGGGAGGGGGGGTGGTGGGGAAATAGCTTATCCTTATATTGAAAGGCCTAACAATGATAAATTTTATGGCTGGAGAAGGAGTATCACATGACTAGATTACTCTTGGTTTACAAACTATAGTATCAAAGGAAATGATACAAAAATCACAATGGATTACACATAAAATCTTTATTAAGAATTTTCTCTTTTTACAAAAACAAAACAAAACAAAACAAAAAAAAAAACTTTAAACATTATATATATTCTCACTTTTACATGTAAAAAAGATGAGCAGCAAACACTATCCCTAAAAGTAAGGTGGCTTCTCACGGGAAAAGTCTGTGAAACTAAACTGGGGAAAGAAAGGAATGAAAATTTAAAATATTAATGTCAGGTTTATTCTCATATCTTCATAATGTTCTCATTAATTCAGTGAAAAGTGTCTGTCTTCCTTGCTTATAATTAGTATAAGGTTCACTTGCACAAATAAAAAACACAGTTTTCTTAAGCCATTTATTTTGAATGACTCAATAATTTCTGATAGGCAACCTCTTCTATCTCAAAGCTTCCCTTCATTGAGAAAACTAGTAATAATGGTTTTGGATAAGAACACAATGTTGGGAATACCATACCTTTCCTGTTTGTCACTAGATGGCAGTGTGCCCACTCTTGAGCCTTCTCACAGTTTTTTTGTTTTTGTTTCTGCTTTCTTTTGAACTCTGATACAAAGAGAAAGGAGGAATTTTAAATTAAATACATACTGATTTAATAAAACTCTTAATTTCTGCAAAAAACTTTTTTGTGTGTGGGACAGCTTGGGTGGCTCAGTTGTTAAGCATCTGGCTTTGGCTTAGGTCATGATCCTAGAGTCTTGAAATGGAGCCCTACATTGGGCTTCCTGCACAGTGGGGAGCCTGCTTCTCTCTCTCCCTCTGCTGCTCCCCCTGCTCATGTTTTCTTTTTCTCTGTCTCCCTTTCTCTCTCATAGATAAAAATCTTTAAAAAAAAATTTTTTTTTGAAATGTATATGAAATATAATTTGAGTCTACAAAATTGGTCACTTTTTCATGCTAAGTTTAGGAAATTTCCAAACTGTATTTTTGTATTATAAATATTTGTAGTACTTTAGACTTTTGTCTCATTAAGTATTTCATACTTGATGTCTCAGTCCTAACGAATTCATTAGTCATTGATAGAGCTTTTTTAAACAAAGTCTTTACTCTTAAAACAATAATAGACAATCCAGTCTTTACAAATTTGAACAAAGGAAAATCTCAAGATTATACTCATATAAAAACTATAATTTTGTTGAAAGAGTATTATATATGTTAAAAATAGAAGACTCCGTTCAAACTTTGGATTTTCATGGTTTTACCTTGTGGCCCCCTTAATGGAGATGACAAATTCCTGGCCAAAGGTTTTTGTGTAACCCATTAAAAAGCTTGTTTGTATACCATCCCCACCTACAGATCAGTATCTTCGGAGCATTAGCACCTTGGCTGCCAATTCCTAGTTTCTCCCATGCTG